CTGGGGACCCTCTTCCCCAACATACACAAGGGTGCAAACTCCAGCTCAGGCTAAGTCATTAATTTAAAAGTTACAGACAACAGATAAGACACAGGACCCAGCCTGACAAGCAGCAAATGGTTTGTTTCCATGGAAGATGGGAAGAGAGGAAAGCTCAAGAGATGGTCCTGGGGATATTCACAGTGTCTTTCAAAAGTTAAAAGAAACAAAACCAAAAACAAAACACCACAAAAAACAGGGTGAGAACATGGGTCAGGTGAGCACAGGACGGTGCATGGAGCAAGCAGGCTGGATTTCTGTCCTGCCCTACTCCCCATACCCTTTCCTTTCCAGGCTGATGGAATCCCTAGCTCTTTACCAGTCCCTCCTTGGTGCTACTTTTCACATCCTTTGCTCACCCACTCCTTGCTGGTGGCACAAAGAGGAGAGGAGCAAGTCTCTCTGCCTTCAAACCCACGTCAATAAAAGACCAACCAGGAAACAGCAAACTGCCACCTCCACAGCCAGATCTACCAGTCAGGGCACGTTAAATACTACCATGGAGTAAGTGTTTAAGCAGACATGTGGGACAACTTGTCGAGTCATTTCCATTTCCTTAATCAGATCCTGCAATAGGTGTTAAATTGTAACATCTCCTTTCAGTGCTGACTTTTATCCACAGGCTATTCCCTAGCAGGAAATTGAGGCTGATAAAATGGGGTAGAGCTATAGGAAAACCAAACACTTATGCAAATTATTGGGACTGGGGAAAAATCTCATCTTGATAGGAGAATTTGGGTGAAGTGCAATACACATTTGCTGTCAAAGGGGCAGGGCATGCTGAAGTTTTTCATCACCTTGCATTGCCAGAGCCTGCATGATTAGCACCTATTCAAATCAATTAGTTTAATCACAATAATATCCTCCAGGTCTGGATGGTTTTTGTAAGACGAGCCCCAAAACCTTGTCTCTAGTGCGAAAATTACCCACTACTGACATTGGCTACACCCTAACAGATGCAGATGAATAAGTAAACACATTAAGCTGCTGAGGTAGACTGGGACAAACAGCACTTGGCACTGCTTAGTAACCACTCCGTGTTACTCATCTGCCAATGTGTTGACTGCTGTTTAACTTGTTATGTCCTGATTGACACTTGGAGCTAAGCAGCGTTCAGCCTTTGTTCCTTTGGTGAGCAAGGTATGAAGCCTGAGTATCTGTGGTTTTCAAAACAGCACTTAAAAACAAAGATGAAAGAGTTATTATAATATTGCAGAGTATAAAGTCAATGCTGGAAAATTATTTTAACTTCAAAATGCTCCTATGAGCATTGCTATATGGGATGGAATATAACACAGACTCTAGCCAGTATTAATAAGTAAGGATGAAAGCAGATATTGTGCAAAAATTTGAGGGATAAAAAAAGCAGAATTAAGTACTAAATCAGACCAGCAGAACTGTCAAATGTGTTAGACTATATTCACAGGCACTCATGTGTGACATGCAGGCACAAAACATAAACATTTGTTTAGTTTGAGTAATTTTGCTTTTTGGAGTAAAAGCGGGTGTTTTTTTCTTTTTTTTTTTTTTTTTTTTTTTTAGGAGAAGGGCTTTTATCTACAGTCTGGAATTTTAAAAGTCTTAAAGCTTTGCAAGGACTGTTTGAAGCAGTTCCAGAAGAACTGCTTTTCATTAGCAAGTGCTGACTCAACGATCTGTAGAAATGTATTGAGTTAATCAAACAAATTAAAGAAAATTATTCGGTTTTACTTCTAAAAGGTTACATAATTTCATTTGGACTTCATCACTTAAATCACTATATATTATGTTTCAAATGTGTTATCACTTGAAAAATGGAATAATAAAGGCAAAACAAACTGGTTTGATTTCAGTGAAGCCTTTGATAGAGTTCTTTTGATGACTTCAAGTAAAGCAACTCCCAAATGTAATTTCTCTGTAAATTTTGAAATTTCAAGGTTTTGTTTAAATTTGAGAAAAGGCAAAAATTAAGTGATAGCATTTCTTAAGGAATGTAAACTTTTTAAGGAACTGAGGCAAGTGCTGATATAATTGTACCCAGCAGCCCAGGGATTTATTTCAAGCGAGCAAGTGCTTGTGTAGTTACACATGATATAAGCTTGGACATATGTGGTCTAAGTTTCGACATAAAGTCTAGAGGGCTGCCAGGGCAGAGCAGCTTTTCAAGCTGCTCTAATATAAACCAGAATCACAGTTATTACTTTTCTGCAAAATAAGCAAGTCTACGCTTACACTCTTTCCCACTCTTGCCAGTTGGGTAAAAGAACACTAAAAAGATACTAAAAAGGCACTCTGGCTATACCTACACTGATAAATAGCAGGCTCAGGCACATTAACTGGCCTCGAGGCTCTGCAGTATGACTGTGTTCCATGCTCTTGGCCTTTCTCACCCATCTAAAGGGGGTGGTGTGAGAAAAAGGCATCGATTTGCATCAGATGGCAAGTAAAAGGTAGCATTTGTTTACATTTCATAGCAGGTCACCGTGGGGTAGACATTAGTTTTTATCCACTCTCTCAAAACACGTGATTATCAAGTTACGAGCAGGGAGTTAAAAGCACGTCCATTTACCAAAGCTAAAAGAGAGTTGAAGCCAGCATTATCTCTTTCAGAGAGGTTTATCCACATCATTTTCTTGCCCATGCCCCTGCTCTGTTCAGCCAGGCTGCAGCAATAGCACTGAGAAGCACAAATTCTTCCTTTCATCCCACATTCATCCTCATTTCTTTAGATTTAGTCCATATCAAGCATCCACATCTGAAAGCATAAGCTTATCCTACAGTCACAAACTCTTCTAACTCAAGAAGTGCCACTTGCTCTCAGTAAACCAATCTAAACAGCCCAGCTCCTTCCAGTGCTGCTACACATCATATGAATGGTCATACTCAGACCAAAGGCCTACCTGGCCCAGGAGCCTGTCTCCAATAGTAATCAACAGCAGATGCCTAGGGAAGGGTATGAAAACACACAGTGATGGCTTTCTCAGAAGATGTTTGGGATCTCCTGTGCCAGCACTGATTGTCTTTGTATTCAGTTTTGCACAGTGGGATTGATCTTCTTCCATGGATTTTTTCGAATAGTTTAGCTTGTGCTAACTCACAACATTCATAACACACAACAACAAGTTCCACACCTAAATACACGCCACATAAGGAAAAACATAAGTAGTTCTGAACTGCTTACATGCTGGGCTCATAGACACCTAGATCTTGTTGGAAAGAGGTAAGGAACCAGAAGTCTCTACAATCTTTTTCTTCAAAAGGGAAAAAGACATACGTATAAGTCCCTCTTTGTGTGAAGCATTCCCATACTTTTCTTATTTCCTTTCTCTGAACTTTCTCCAGTCTTCCACTACACTTTTTTAAGAAGAAGGGGCATGAACTCTGTAGGGATTTATGCAGTCTCTTTTGTTCTCTATTTCTTTTCTAATAATTCCTAACATTCAATTTACATTTTTATTGCTACTGAGCATTAAATTGGTGGTTTCATAAGAACTATTCATTATAATCCCAAGATCTCATTCCTAAGTGGTAACGTTCAATTCAGAGCCCATCACTCTATACGGAGAGTTAAGATTGCTTTTTTCTGGGGTATCACTTATATTTATCTACATTGAACTGGCGATACCAAAATTTGTGACACAGTCAAAACTTCAAGTTCAGCATTAAAATAAATATTTTCAAAAATATTAAAATTGGCTTTTATTATGAATTTCTCATTTGAATCTAATCCACTGAAGAATATTCCAACAATGACATCATGACACCGTAGCAAAAAGAGACCTTTATGCTTCATTTGGTACCACTTTCTTTTGAGCAATATCACTCTCTCTCTTGATATTCTAATGAGTCATCATGCTATCTTAGAGCCACATTTCCTAGAGACAAGGGAATAGAAGAAAATCCCACCTTTCATTAACAAAAATCAAGTACATTTCAAGCTATCCTGGGTGTAAAAGTTTAAAAATGTGATACAATTGCACAGTCAAGAACAAGAGTAAACAGACACAAAAAAACTTAGCTTTTTTCATTTTTACATCCATTTTAAACCTATTTCATGCTTTGTGAAGCACAGTTTTTAACTGGATAACAGAATTACAATGGTTGAACAAGAGACACGTGTACAGTCAATCAGATTTATTTACAATGGCAATGTGTGATATATTACTGAACTAGTCTAAAGATAATACAGTTGGTTTGGGTTTTTTTTTTTAAGAAATCTGGATATGTTGTCAAATTAATCATATCATCAAGACCATACTAGTTCTTGAGGACAGAAAGATTTAATGCATTCAGGGAAACACCAAACAGATCAAAACAATTTAATAGCAAGGAATGTGATGGTGAAGACTGATGTTGGAGGCTTCTGTTTAGGACCTGATGGTGATATTATCTCATTATGAGCGTTCTGCCCCACAAGCTCTCAACTAGTCTAGGAAGGGTTGCTCACGATCTATGTTCATGGAGCTGTTCCACAGTCAGATACTGAGGTCTTGATATGAAGCATTCTGAGTTAGAAAAAGAAAGCATGAAAAATACAAGCATTGGGGGAAAAAAACATCTGTGTTTCTGTATTATGGCATATATCTACAGATATCCATAATAATTTGTGATTTCTTTGTTGTCTTTTGGATTTTTTGGTTTTAATATAGTCAGAGGTGTGAGCAAATATATACAGATCAAAAATGTAAATACTATGATTTATAGATGCTGTTAGAAAGTAATTACCTTCCAGTATGTATATTAGTTTTAACAATTTTTAGGGCAAGTCCTAGTCTCATCTAAGTATGCACAGCTAGCTAAAAAAGAAACCCAAAAAGAATTTTGTGTTGTTTTAGAAACTCTTGTTCTTTGGAAGTACAATTTTATTAAAAAGCATTCAAAATAATTAATATTTTAAAGTAATCTTAAGAATAAACAGTTCATCTTCTACATCCTCATAGGTGGTAAGCATTATAAAATAATATATAAGCACACAGCCAGTGTTCACAAAATAATTTATTTTTGTATTTTCCCTGACACAATAAGATCTGTTTTTAAATCATGACAAAGGAAAGATTTTTAAGATGGTCATTACATTATGTGGCATACAATAAATGTAAATCATCTTATTTGCCTCCAACATTTACATAAGACATCATCAGCATTGGATAGGAACTTATTCACTACAAACACAAGAATTCATGTTTCAGGTCTTTTATTTCTAGTAAAAGGCAGATTACCTCTTACCATGCTGTACTCTTCATTTTCATTTTGTAAAAGCAACCCTTCCTTAATCTCGCTGTCAATTTAATGATGAAGTGTGAATTGTCACATTTCTAGTACATGTCATGGTCCCTGCTCTGATAGCTTCGTGATTTGCACTTTTAATCGTGCATCACTGGAGAGAGGTTGGCATGAAGACCAGTAAACCCTGGCAAAGCATGCATTCACTCCTTACTTCGGGACCAAGTGGTGGGTAATAGCTGGATAACCAGACAAATTAGTGAAGGCAAACACTTCCCATCCCTTTCACACAGTGAGATCTGCCTGCTGGACACCTGTCTGTCACCTGAAAGCAGAGACACATGGCTTGCTGCATAGGGGTAATGAATAAGGACAACAATCCTGTCCATACTGTCAGGCTAAAATCTTATTTTGGTGAAACTCTTTGCAATTATCTCTAATAACTTCCCCACCCCACAAGTCCTGTACTCTTCTATTCGAAAAACAAAGTGTGGAGATATATTAAATGACTTCTGCAAATACCTTGTTTGCCAGAAATCTCTTTAGCAAGTCAACCTGAAACTTGTTGTTGTAATATTTTCATTAACTGTTTTGTTGCTAGGAGTTTACTTAGATTGGTTAAGTGGTTAAACGTGAGAAACTTCTTGACTCTGATTTGCCACAGATACCTTATTTGTTCTTAGGTGGCTCCTGGTTCACCCAGCTGACAACTGCTTCTGTGGTGGGCTCACAAAGCTCAGTCACCAGTCAGGCACATATGATGTACATTATTTATACAAGTCTTCTCTGATCAGTCGGTGCCTCCTGCTCTTCTGTGTCACTTCAGCTATCCTCCAAATTACAATGCCATCACTAGAGTATATTCAAACTTATAACACATTCTCAGCTATTTTCTCGCAGGATGAGAGGATGTTTTGAGATCGTTTAGGTTATTTTGAGATTTCCAGTGTTGGGCGAATTATTATTGACACTGAAATGGCCCCATGGATTTTAGCTTTTGGACTTTCTGACCCTTCCAATTACACTAACTACCCAAAACTGAGAAACAGAGGAACCTTGGAAGTGTAAAACCTCAAATATTCATTTCCACTTTGTACTTTGACAGGAACTTCAGTCATTTTGTATTTTGCCTGAATCACTGAGTATACAGTACAGATGGTCAACAGGTAAAATAAAGTTCTAACTTTTATTTAAAGTCCCAGCCTTATACTGAAGGTGCAAAAGCATCACTAGCAAGAAAGCTGAGATGATAATACCTCAGATAGAGAGATAACACCCTGCAGTTCTGTAGATGTAAAAAGGATTCTGCTATAACATCATCAATATGTGGCAGTAAATATAAAACACCAGCACTGCTAGCTGCTGAGATGGATGGGAAGGGTCACCAGCATTGCCTATCCCTCCCATTTCAAGAATCCTAAGAATTTTCACAGTGGCACGTGCCAAGTGGCAGAAAGAAAAGGCTCCATTGAAAGTGAATAATCAGCTCCTACAAAATAAAGATATATTTATCTTCAGATTTTAGACAGAATTTTCACAGAGTCACACAGCTCCGAGATCTAAGTGATACCAATGCTATGGTGTTCAAGAAGCAAGCTAGAACACTCTTCCCTTCTTTCAGAAGATCCCGACCTTACCTATGGAGGTAAACCTTGTGTTTCTGTGAAGTGAAAGTTTACTGTATTGTCAGCTTGAAATTACCTGCCATACAGCTGTTGGAGTTTTTCACAAGTGAATTCCTCATGTGGCTGTGGGAAGGTTTTCCACAGATTAGATTAAACTTGTAGAGATTCCAGATTTGGGAACATTTCTTAAGTTCTGCATGACACTAGATAGAATAGGCAGAAAAGTAAAGTACTTTTTTCTATTATATATTCAAGTGTACAATTAAGGAATGGCAAAAACTACCTTTGCCTTATGGGATGAAGAGAATTAATCTTTTACTTACCATGAGACAGGGTTACAGAGCTGAAGGGCACAAAAGTATTACATGTGTTAGGCAATGATTGCAAGCTAGAAATTGCTAGTGTAGAATATGCATCCAGACATGATTTTCTGTTTTAAAACTTACCTTGGTGCAAGCTACACCTAACTAATACAAATGCATAAGATCTTCATCTACACTTAATAAATGGAGCACTTAGGTTTTACCTATTTGGATTTATACACAACTCAAGTGCAACAATTTGGTACTCTCGGCACCTGTGCCATAAAAATACAGATTCTTAGAACAAGTTGCCCACAATTCATTGTTTCCATATTACATGGCAAACTTTAAACTAATGAAACAAGCCTGCCCTGTTTTCAAATGGGGTGCATATCATGGCTTATCTCCTAGGATGCAGGATAACAGACAATGATCTAACTTTGTCCTGGCAATCAACTAACTGAAATTATTTCAGGCTTGGTGAAGGAAATTAAAGCTTCAAAACTGTGGTGCCTCTACATATCAAAGACCTGTCCTTGAACATGCTTCACAGAGAGAGGGAAAAACAGCTTCTGCAGCCAGCTGCTAGCAAGCTAGAGCAACAGGGGTCAAACCAGGTGACAGTCAATGCCAAAACATAACACCAGTTTCTACCAAACAGCAGTGGGGTAGGAGGTAGCACCTTGAGGAGTAGAGAGGTCAAAAGCAATCCTGCCCCATGCACCATGATTCCCTGGGCTTGGCCTCGTTGTTCAACCACATCGGTTGTAACCAGGGTGCCGAGGGAAGGAGGGCTGCATCTGTGCTATGAAATCACTGTGGTGTCTGTTTCCTTCCCTGATTTTGACCCCATTTGCAGTTTGGTTAGAGAACAGCCAAGTTGAAATCTCATAGCACTCTATATGTATCAATCAAGAAGAAAAAAAATTGCCCAAAACTAATTCCTAAAATAATTCAGCAAGAAAATAAAGGCGACTTAGAAGCAGCACCTAATGTCACAAGTGTGTTTTTTAAAGTCTTTGTTTAGAGTTTGCGACTTTGGTCTTATTGAAACAAAATACGCTCTCCTTTTTTTTTCCAGTCATTGCCATTTCTAGATGGGATGGAGCATAAGCAAACAAAAAGTCTACAGTGGAGCGATTTGTCAGCTCAGTCTGTGCTCCAGGAGCACTCCTGCATTCCTCAGAGGTAGGAGGCATTGCACAGCAATATCCATGGGCAAGGCTCTCTCCTGACTCCAGTGGCACACAAGACTCCCTGCCAGGCCAAAAATCAATGACTGACTGTGGTTTTTCATGTCAGCACTATCCTTGAGCCCAGCTACAGGACATACCCTGAGCGAGAGACCTTGCTTCCCTTGGCAGGTCCAGTGCAACAGGGGCACAGCAGAGCACTTCCTCTGCATGAGCAGCTGTCATAAGTAAACCCTCTGGTTTCTGGATTTCTAGCCCAGCTCCCTACAGAATGATGAATGCTTCAGATCTAACTCTGTAAGACATTTCGTGGCCAGGGACCAAGGCTGATAAATTTCCAGAGAAAGCACCATGGTCAACAGTCACACAATGAAGGCTATGCAGTAGAACTAAAACTCACTGAGGGGAGAAGAGTTTTGGGGCTTTCCTGAGGACTAGTCCTGGTGATCTAATAAAAACTAGGAAAGTGCTTGACCACCTTTTATCTCCAATGCAAAGCATATTTCTTCATTTACATACACATTTGCATATCACACTATATGTCATCATTGGAAACAAATCAGCAAAACAATCCCACATTATTCTAATATGTACATTTCTTTCGCTGTTGAGTGGATAATTAACAAATAAAAGACAGATGAGAAGTCATGCTTTGCTTATTACCTTCAAGATAAGGTTTTCAGATACTGTGGTAGCAAACCTATTTTGAATAGCAAGCATTTACCAGATCCTATTATTCTACAATTTCTGTGGGAGATTTCTTGTCACCTTGGAAATTATATGTTTGGTACTAGGAAGAAAAATTAGCTTTACTCAGAGGTCTAAGTAATTCAGATATATGGCATGCAGCATGTAAAACCAAAGTCTAATATCAACGTACCCAAAAGTAGACTTTATGACTGTTAAATATACCTGTTGCAAAAGATTAGATTTACTGGTTTGCTCATATTGTGTTAGTCATTTATAACATTTGGGCACTGAGCAACATAAACTTATTTTATGGTTCTTTCATCCTTTCAAAAGCATTGCAGGCTCCTAGATAGGCAAATTCAACACAAGGGTTTCTGGGATATAGCACTGCATGCAGTGATAAATACACAGAGGTATTATTTCTGATGGATAACATTCTTTTAAGGTCTTTTCATGATCCATTAATTTATGAATTACACACCAGAGTAGGCATTGCAAAGGGCTTAATTTTAGTTATATGTTGATCTTTTTCCCTTGAAGCAGCTTTTATCCAAAAACTAAGTAGGACTAAAAATAACATGTTCTCTTGAATTGATTCTGACAGGTTTGACCATAGAATTTAACTGTTTTATTCTTTACTTATCAAAAGGTGGGCAGTTGGGCCCCTCCCTATCTATAAATAAGAATATGCACCCCCAAAAAAAATCAAAATAGAAAAGAATAATTCTATGGCTCACTTCATTCACAGCACAGTTACAAAAAGCAATGAACTTTCCATGGAATAAAATTTACAGTAAGGAATGAAGTATGCAAATAAATGCTGCACAGAGATTAAGATAAAAAACCAACTTGATAAAACTCTTTGACAGTGTGACTTCAAACTGACTTCATGGGAGCCAGATTTCCATCAAAGCATCCTATCTCCACCTTGCCAGACCTAATCCATTTCAAGTAAACCAGAAGCAAGTTACTTCAGACAAGTTATTTATAAGACAATGAGATATTAGTCTTAAGATCCCTCTTACTTGAAAAGAACATTTGGGCTTTTGCTCATGGCTCAAAAAAGAAACCAAAAAGTGATGAGCATAATTATGGAAGTATCCTTACCCCCCCTGTATGCTGCTCCCCCCAAGGACTGGGAAATTTCATAAGCCATCATAAATCAGTTTTATAGATAATACCTCAGTGTTTAGAGCTGTCATTTATTTCTCTTTTCTCTCTCTTTTTCTTACAGCAATAATAATTAAAAAATTAAATAAATATAAAAGCCCTCGAAACTGAAAGGAAGAATCTGTTAGTAAGGTAAAGAAGTGGTGATAAAATTCTGACCTCAGGAGTTTTTGATTGAAGCAGCAACTGTGAACATTGCTGCTAAACAGAATCTGGCCATGTGCTTGCAGTACAGTATTTCAAGCAATCCAGATTAGCTGCAGTTAAGAGATCTGTTTATTACTGACAGGGTGTGGCAACATGTAAGAAACTCATGGTATCCTGAGAGGGAGTTTCTTAACTTCCTTTTCATTACATTCAATGGTTTCTGTTTCACAATGAAAAAGTCTGAAAAAATGCTGACAATATTTACATTCAGATTTCTCTTACAAATAATTATGGTCCTCAGTATCAGCTAAGATGAAGCTAACATAAACCTTAATATGAACACAATCTTTTTTAATTTTGAAAGAGCAGGCCTTTTTTTTTCTTCTGCATGTTACCCTAGAGGCATTACCTGATGATGTGTAGTCAGATCTTGGTTTCCTGAACTTCCCACAACATTTTCAGGCATTACAAGTGATGATAAAGTTCTTGCCATAAGCATAATTGTCATCAAGAGATGAGATATCCATTGAACCATTAATTTAAGTATAGTAATTCGTCTCTTTTAATAAAACTTACAAAACAAAGACTAAGATTTTGTTCAGAATTAAACCAAAGCATAGATGTTTTGTTCCGTAGTTTTGTGGTTTGGCTCTCCAGAGAGGCTTCTTTACAAGTCAGTATCTGTAACAGGTTGAAAAAATAAAAATGAATATTCATTATGAAGGTAAAATTGTCTGAAGTCCAAAAAATCATGCAATTTTCTTGAAACAAGCATAAACATGAAATTCTAGGGGTAGATGCGAAAAAGCTGTCTAAGCACACCTAGAAACATTTCAAATGGAAATCATGGATTCTAAGTTACCTCTGAAAATATCCAGTCACCAGCACTGAGGTGCACCAAATCTAGTTACTAAAGGTCATACTTAACAGTATATAGGACAGACTCATTTCTTATATCTCAAATCTTCGTTCACGAAGCTTAGCCATGATTTCTTATATTTATTTTCAGTCCCCAATCACCAAATTAAAGCTGATCTAATGAAATTATTTCAAAATTCTAATTTGTTGATCAGTCACAAGATCAACTTACTGTTTAATATCACCTAATTCTTCATCTGAGCATAGTAATAGATTGCGTGTGCACTCTTAGACTACAAGCACAAATGAGAAAAAATAAAATCTTTAAAACCTCCGCAAAATGCAGTTGTTTGATCTAATGATTTCTGCCTTGTGTTGGTGATGGGCTACTGGCTTGCACATAAATTCGTCTTCACTGACATGTGGTAGCCCATTAAGCCACTGTAACTCAATTTCATGTCTGACTACATAGACAAAATTGAACTGATAGAGTTTGAGCAAAGTTTCACATTATTAAGGTGACTACTTCCTAGGGTAATAGATACTTTTCCAAAATGGAGAACAGACTGAGCATTTCGCTGCTTTAAGGCTTTAGATACACATAAATGTTAAACTGCCCGTTTAACAATACAAGGAGAGTTAGAATGGTACATCTGGTATTGTGTGTCATAGCAATGCTGATATGAGCACAGCCATTCTGGCATAGTTACTTCTATACAGAAGAAGAACTACTTCATTATTAGGGATCTTCAGTCCCGTATAATTATATCCAACTTTACAAGCTATAGCACTTGTCAAATAGTTGGACCAGGACAACCCCCCCCCCCCCGCCATCTGTTAATTTAACAAGGTCATTTTAGATCAATTAGTGATAATTTTCAGGTAGCATGTAATGTAGCTTTCTCAGCTAAAGCCCAACACACTTAGAAGCCTCTTTATGTGTAAGGAAGGTGTAGGTGAGAAGCTGTTTCACTTGCAGACAGCAGGCAGAATCATGCTGTTAAAAATGCAGGAAAAACATGTGGAAGGTAACAGAGAAAAGTCAGCTAACAGGCTTTGTCTGAACTCCAAAATGCACAGATGAGTCACCTCCACGGAGCGTACCATGATGACATGAACTAACACTACAAGAAAGTGCTGACCTAGCGTGGGAAACAAGAATTGCCTTGTACTTGATTGCTGAAATTCTAGTTGTTTCAAGAATTGCATATTGACAGCTTACTTTTTGCCTGCCCTGAAAGAGCCCTCATGTTTTTGCTGTTCTCAAATTAAATCCAAATAGTTATTTTGAATAAAGACCTAAAACAATCAACAATTTCCTGAAAATATGGGAAAAGCATGTTCACTTTGCTGCTCTTTTCTTCCAGAATAACACCTAGTCTTTGTGTTGTTTGAAGGCATGTATCTATTTGAAGACTGAAGACCTGCTTGCTGCTGACATAACATGTAGGATTTTTAAAGTAGTGCAGTAGTTATCACCTGTCATTGGCTCTAGAGCCACTGCTAATCACTTTTTAAATAATCCAATGCATCAGACATTGAGGCCATCAATGTTTTTCCCATTACCATGATGTAGAGGCCATTTGGATAATGACCACTGCCCCAGAAGAGCAATGACAGATTTCTGTGCCATCACACTTTGACCAGGAGCATCATGTGCACTGTACATTGTTTGGTGCTCTGAACTGCAGCAGGATCAGGACTGCCCTCTGCTCACCTTGCAGCCATTGGCAAGCAGTGACCTTGAAGGACTGGGCCTTTTTCAGCTGTTAAGCCTTCCTCTTCTCTACAAGGAGCAGAGACAAAACTCAGATGGAGGCAACACCAGAAAATCCAGTAGGTGCTTTGGGTAAAAGAGAGGAACAAGCTGGGATTTCAGAATCAAGCAAAGAGAAAGGGTCACCACCAGCCATCAACTTCACACATGTCAGTGCTAAGCTGCATCCAATTTTTCTCTGAATAAAGTGCACTTTCCATTCCCCTCCCAGGGCATCTATTAGTCCATTAGTCTTGCATGTAAGTGAGGGAAGACTACCAGAAATTACTTAGTATTACTTACAGGTCTAAAGAACACAGTAAAACAGTGAACAGGTAGCAGAAACAACATAAGAGTCATGATAAGCAAAGGTCAATCTAGATTAACTATATTCTCTTGAGGAGAGGTGTGCAGTTTAGATCAGAGGTTGAAGAAGCAGAAGCACCTCTTTGAACATCATGAGGATTTCCAGTGAAGTTCTTTGCACCTCCAAAGAGGGCAGGAAGGAATTGCCCAAGAGCAACTAAGACACATAACAGACTAAAACACAGTTTCATTCAATTCACACTCAGGAACTGTCCTTCAACAGGATTTTATACTTTAAATTTCAAATAGGTATGCAACATGAGAGCTGGACATATCAGCCACCTAAAACTTTCGTAACTTCTGCAAATGGCAGAAAAAGGGAGGGCTGGGGGGAGCAGGCTGTTCTTTTAGACTGGGTGGATCATCTAAGGGAATAATTTAGTCTCTGTGATATCTAAATCATGGCCTATTTATTTTAAATTCCAGTAAAGGGCTAATTAGTGTTAATTACAGTAGCAGGGCTAGTGATGTGGCTATTCACACACAAAGAACTTGGCAGAGACTGAACTCTACTTACTCATAGGTCAGCAAAAAGAAAAGAGCGTGCTGCACTTTGTCACATCTCATTTGGATTGCCTTCAAAATGCTGAGCTAGAGGCAAAAGATACCATGGTTCATTTCCAATTCCCTGCCTAATCCTATCACCTTTAATTTATTTTAAAAGTTTAATCAGAAGTTCATAAAGCTCAGATATCAGTTTTTTAATTAAAAAAATTAAGCACCTGCAGGTAGGCTTTTTAGGAAATCAGGACTGGCCCAAGTTTCATTATGAATAGGTACTTCCACAGTTCACCTTTCTGCAAATGCTACTGTGATAAAATGTAACTTTCATTCCCTCACTATTGCTTCAGGGATGTGTCATTTAGGGAAAATAAATAGAAGACTTCTATTGCAAAGAAACCATGCTCCATTCAGGGTCAGTGAAAAGCTGCACTTTTCTCTGGAACTTCTGGCAGCATAGTAATAACTTCTCTGCAGAAATTGTCACTAACTGCTAGTTAGTACTAATAGTAAACGTACTCAAGATATTATTAGTATATAAATAATGTCATTTTTGCAAATAGAGAAACTTTACTAAATTTGGGGGGTTTAATTTACTGTTAGTTGATGAAAATGATGATATTAATAGTCCTTTAAAGATGTCAGCCAGCTTTGGAATGCCGATTGTTACAGTGTTCTTGGATTTTCAGAAGTCAAAGTGTTTTGACAAGATCTTTCTCTAAAGGCTCTTAAAGAAACTGAGTTATCAGAAGGATGAAAATTCTTTAGTAGATTAATGATGTGTTGGAGCATAGTAATAAATTGTTTTCGCCACAGGAGAGAAGCAATCAGATATCTGCACTAAAACTTGTTCTCTTCAGTATATTCATAAATGATCTGGAAAAATGAATTAGTAATGAGATGGCAAAGTTTGCTGATGATACAAATTACTCAGAACAGTCAATACCTCAAAAGGTGTCATTATACTGAACACTGAGTGATTCAGCAACAAAAAATGTAGACATTATTTAATATCAATAAATGCAAAGCAATGTGCATCAGGGGGAAAAGCCCAACTTCACACACAGGGACAAATAATAAATAAATAAATAAATAAATAAATAATTTAGTATCTGTTCAACAAGAATCTTGGACTCCTTTTCGAGAACTGTCTGAAAACATTTGTCCAGTGCTCACTGGCAGACAGAAGATGCAAACCAAATGTTACAAATCACTGTGAAAGGATGAAAAGTCAAAAGACAAAATATTACACCACTACATAAAGCCAGGCTGCATCCACATCCCAAATACTTCACCTAAGTCTGAATGATCCATGTCCAAAGGTTTATTAGAAGTACGAATGGTGTATGCTAGACAACATAGATGAGTAGCAGAATACTACTGTAACTGTATGAGGATGGATGAAAGTACTTTTCAACTTGAAAAGAGATAACAAAGAGGAAATAATTGTATATAAAATTGAAACTAATGTATATGGTCAGTAAGGAACAATGGTTCACTATTCCTTCTACCATAAGACTTAAAAAGCACCAAGTATCACAGTTTTAATCAAACAGAAATGATTTTCCACACAATTCATAGCTACACTGTATAGTTTATTCTTACAGGAATATTGTGGCTAACATAAATACAAATGGGTATAATAAATAATTAGAACAATCTATAGAGAAAGGATTCAGCAAGGGCTAATAAATATATAATGCACTTAAATCTACAGTTTAAGTAGTGTGTACATTGTGAGCAATTGAAAATCGGGGAAAGGATCTCTGTGCTTGTCCTATTCGCCCGCCTAAGACATAGTTGAGAAGCCATACCCTGTTCTGATTTAGTGTGGCCATTCTTGTGCTATTATTTAGACCCAAAAGTTTCATGATCTAATTATATTCTGCCTTCAAGAAACAACTTAAATTTGGCTTCTATTTTCAGCACCAGGCAGAAAAGACATTAATTCTCTTTTGGAATAAATAGGGGCTGAGCATTGCTGGCACAATTAACTCCTTCCTCCAGCAAGCCTATTCTGTACTGCTGCAGCAATCCCTTCTGACTGCAGAACAAACTCCGCTCCCTACTTACTCTTCTTCATCTGACTGTGTATCCAATTGATCTCTCATCTTGTTCTTCATTATATTTATCATATTGTACTTTACTGATTCTTGAATATAGAGGAAACTTCTGTGTTCTCTTAGACACCTGAGAGAAT